TAAATCCCAGAGCAGCCTGTGATCCCACATTTCTGTGTTTGGGGTATCCCTAAATCCCAGAGCAGCCTGTGATCCCACATTTCTGTGTTTGGGGTATCCATAAATTCATAAATTCAGCACATCCAGATCTTTGGTACCAATTCCTCGTGGCCGCTTGGGCCAGATTTCCTCGGAGTTTCCAATCCCAGGCTTCCTTTTTCCATCTGGGTTTGCTGCTGGAGCTCCCTTTGTCCCCTGGGCTGAGGATCTGGGCTTTGTGTGATCCCTGATCCCTGATCCCTGATCCCTGATCCCTGTCTGTGTCCCTTTGTCCCCTGGGCTGGTCCCTGATCCCTGATCCGTGTCTGTGTCCCTTTGTCCCCTGGGCTGGATCTGATCCCTGATCCCTGATCCGTGTCTGTGTGTCCCTTTGTCCCCTGGGCTGAGGTTCTGAGCCAGTTCTGATCCCTTCTCTCTGTGTCTGTGTGTCCCTTTGTCCCCTGTCCCCGTTCAGTGTCACAGCGGGGCTGCCCCTCAGCCCGGCCGCCGACTCCGCGCGCTCCGCTCGCCACGCGCTGGCACTCATCGCCACCGCCCGCCCGCCCGCCTTCATCACCACCATCGCCAAGGAGGTGACACTGGGGACACCTGGGGGCTCTGGGGACACCTGGGGGGTCTGGGGACACTGTGGGGACACTGTGGGGACAGGGGGGGCTCTGGGGGGTCTGGGGACACCTGGGGACACCCGGGGTGGTCTGGGGACGCCTGGGGACACTGTGGGGACACCTGGATCCCATGGACTGAGATCCCCTGGCTCAGGATCCCATAGATCAGGATCCCCAGGCTCAGATCCCCAGGCTCAGATCCCCAAGCTCAGGATCCCATAGATCAGGATCCCATAGATCAGGATCCCATAGATCAGGATCCCCAGGCCCAGATCCCGTGGCTCAGATCCCCAGGCTCACATCCCCTGGCTCAGATCCCCAGGCCCAGATCCCCAGGCCCAGATCCCCAGGCCCAGATCCCGTGGCTCAGATCCCCAGGCCCAGATCCCCAGGCCCAGATCCCCAGGCCCAGATCCCGTGGCTCAGATCCCCAGGCCCAGATCCCCAGGCCCAGATCCCCAGGCCCAGATCCCGTGGCTCAGATCCCCAGGCCCAGATCCCCAGGCCCAGATCCCCAGGCCCAGATCCCGTGGCTCAGCTCCCGGTGGATCCCCCGCAGGTGCACCGGCACACGGCGCTGGCGGCCAACGCGCAGTCGCAGCAGAACGTGCACACCAGCACGCTGGCGCGCGCCAAGGCCGAGATCCTGCGCGTCATCGAGATCCTCATCGACAAGATGCCCACGGACGTGGTGGATCTGCTGCTGGAGGTGAGGCTGGCTCGGAGCGCGGTCCCCGCCTCGGGCCCGCTCCGCCTGACCCCGAGCGCTGTCCCCAGGTGATGGACATCGTCATGTACTGCCTGGAGGGATCCCTGGTGAGGAAAAAGGGGCTGCAGGAGTGTTTCCCAGCCATCTGCAGGTGAGCTCTGCCCGCGGGAATGCGGGCAAGGATGGGATCCTACGGTAACACATGGTACAGATCTCATACTGATCCAGATCTCATATTGATACGTGGTGCATAATCCAGATAAATCCATATTTCATATTGATACATGGTACAGATCTCATACTGATCCAGATCTCATATTGATACGTGGTGCATAATCCAGATCTCATATTGATACATGGTACCTAATCCAGATTAATCCATATTTCATATTGATACATGGTACCTAATCCAGATCTCATATTGATCCAGATCTCATACTGATACGTGGTGCATAATCCAGATAAATCCATATTTCATATTGATACATGGTACAGATCTCATATTGATCCAGATCTCATATTGATACATGGTGCATAATCCAGATCTCATATTGATACATGGTACCTAATCCAGATTAATCCATATTTCATATTGATACATGATACAGATTTCATATTGATACATAATAAATATTGATCCAGATCTCATATTGATACATGGTGCATAATCCAGATAAATCCATATTTCATATTGATACATGGTACAGATCTCATATTGATCCAGATCTCATATTGATACATGGTACCTAATCCAGATCTCATATTGATACATGGTGCATAATCCAGATTAATCCATATTTCATATTGATACATGGTACAGAATCCAGATTAATCCATATTTCATATTGATACATGGTACAGATCTCATATTGATCCAGATCTCATATTGATACATGGTGCATAATCCAGATCTCATATTGATACATGGTACCTAATCCAGATTAATCCATATTTCATATTGATACATGATACAGATCTCATATTGATACATGGTGCATAATCCATATTTCATATTGATACATGGTACAGATCTCATACTGATCCAGATCTCATATTGATACGTGGTGCATAATCCAGATCTCATATTGATACATGGTGCATAATCCAGATAAATCCATATTTCATATTGATACATGGTACCTAATCCAGATCTCATATTGATACGTGGTGCATAATCCAGATCTCATATTGATACATGGTGCATAATCCAGATCTCATATTGATACGTGGTACCTAATCCAGATCTCATATTGATACATGGTACCTAATCCAGATCTCATATTGATACGTGGTGCATAATCCAGATTAATCCATATTTCATATTGATACATGGTACCTAATCCAGATTAATCCATATTTCATATTGATACATGGTACAGATCTCATATTGATCCAGATCTCATATTGATACATGGTACATAATCCAGATCTCATATTGATACGTGGTGCATAATCCAGATTAATCCATATTTCATATTGATACATGGTACAGATCTCATATTGATACATGATAAATATTGATCCAGATCTCATATTGATACATGGTGCATAATCCAGATCTCATATTGATACATGGTGCATAATCCAGATTAATCCATATTTCATATTAATACATTATTGATACAGATTTCATATTGATACATGGTACCTAATCCAGATTAATCCATATTTCATATTGATACATGGTACAGATCTCATATTGATACATAATAAATATTGATACAGATTTCATATTGATACATGGTACAGATTTCATATTGATACATGGTACAGATATCATTTTAATACATATTTCATATTAATACATGATACATAATCCATATTTCATATTAATACATATTTCATGTTAATACCTCTTTCATATTAATATATAATACATATTTCATATTAATACATAATACATATTTCATATTGATACATGATACATAATACAGATTTCATATTAATCCATATTTCATATTAATCCATATTTCACGTTAATACATGATACATATTTCATATTAATACAGTCTACATATTTCATATTAATACATGATATATATTTCATATTGATACATATTTCATATTAATATATAGTACATATTTCATATTAATACATAATACATATTTCATATTGATACATGATACATATTTCATATTAATACATGATACATATTTCATATTAATACATATTTCATATTAATACATGATACCTATTTCATATTAATACATATTTCATATTAATCCATATTTCCTATTAATACATAATACATATTAATACGTGATATATATTAATCCATGATACATATTTCATAT